TTTATTTTATTTTCATTCAATTCAAAACACTTCCTAATTTCCTTTTGCTTTGGCCCATGGATTGTTTAGAGGTGTGTTACTTAGTTCCCACATCTTCAGGAATTTTCTAGTTATCTTTCTGCATTGATTTCTAATTTATTTCTCTTGTGTCAGAGAGCATACTTGGTATGACTTCTATCCTTTAAAATTTATTGAGTGTTATTTACAGTCCAGAAGATGATCTTTCTTTTTTTAGTTTTTTATTTTATTTATTTATTTTTTAATTTTATTATGTTATGTTAGTCACCATACAATACATCATTGGTTTTTGATGTGGTGATCCACGATCCATTGTTTTCATATAACACCCAGTGCTCCATGCAGTACGTGCCCTCCTTAATACCCATCACCGGGCTAACCAATCCCCCCTTCCCCCTCCCCTCTAAAACCCTGTTTGTTTCTCAGAGTCCATAGTCTCTCATTCATCTCTCCCTCCAATCACCCCCCCCATTTTTCCCTTCCTTCTCCTAATGTCCTCCATGCTATTCCTTATGTTCCACAAATAAGTGAAACCATATGATAATTGACTTTCTCTGCTTGACTTATTTCACTTAGCATAATCTCCTCCAGTCCCATCCATGTGGATGTAAAAGTTGGGTATTCATCCTTTCTGATGGCTGAGTAATATTCCATTGTATATATGGACCACATCTTCTTTATCCTTTCATCTGTTGAAGGGCATCTCGGCTCTTTCCACAGTTTGGCTATTGCGGACATTGCTGCTATGAACATTGGGGTGCATATGGCCCTTCTTCTACCCAGTAGTGCAATTGCTGGGTCATAGGGTAGCTCTATTTTTAAATTTTTGAGGAACCTCCACACTGTTTTCCAAAGTGGCTGTACCAACTTGCATTCCCACCAACAGTGTAAGAGGGTTCCCCTTTCTCCACAACTTCTCCAACATTTGTTGTTTCTTTCCCTGTCCATTTTAGCCATTGTAACTGGTGTAAGGTGGTATCTCAATGTGGTTTTGATTTGGATTGAAGATGATCTTTCTTGATCAAAGTTTTGTGTTAACTTGAAAGAATGTGTGCCCTTGCTATTGTTGGGTAGAGTGCTCTGTGGTGGTGACTAGGTGAAGTCGGGTGAGGGTTGTTCCAATCGTCGATAACCTGGCTCATGTTCTGACTGCTTGTTCTAGCAAGTATGGAGTGTGGGGGATGGAAATCTCTGGTTGGAACTGTGGTTTTGTCAGTTTCTCCTTACGGTTCTATCAATTTTTGCTTCACATGTTTTGGAGCTCTGTTATACGGTATATAAATGTTTACAATTGTTATACAATAAAGAACTATAAAGGCCCCAAATGTTAACTGAGAGAGTTGAGAAGCCATAATCTGGAGCTGATGAGACAAGACTCTTTGATGTGCGCTGTTCGATGCCCCACAGGTCAGGGGTCTTCCGGTGGGGGCTGTAGGAGCAGGCACCATTCCTCGCTTGTGTGAGTGGTGAGCGCTGTTCACCTTAACCCTTTTGGTTTCCTTCCCCCCACACCCCTTCACACAGATTCTTCCCATGCACATGCTGATGAGTACTCAGCTGAGTAACTGAGGGAGATTCTCTTTGTGGATCTCTAGGGTCCGCACTCTGTGCAACTCTCTCTCTTCAGTTTTCTTTCCTGCGAATTCTACCTGCCCTGCACCCTCAGCACTGTCTCCTCAACTCCAGGAGCCCACCAGGCTCCCCTGGGAGCCCCTCCCCACCTGTGGCCTGGACACTCTCTGAAGGTAGTGAGCCTAGGCAGTCATAGCAATGGTCTTGTTTATTTCCCATCTCAAAAGGATCTGCATTGCCTGGTAGCCATGTCCTGTAAATGGTTGTTTCATATATTTTGTCTGGTTTTTTGGTTGTTTTCAGTGGGAGGGTAAGTCCTATCCCTGTTACTTCCTCTTGACTGGAAGCTGGTCCCTTTGGATTTTGGGGACCAATTTTATGATGCTGACGTCACATGTGGCAAACTCAGTAGGAGCATCCCAGCGGAGGTCCTGAGGCATCAGGAGCAAACATATGCTCAATCTCTCAGGTCACTCTTCTTTTCAGCAATAGTTTTGGCTTTGCCCTGGCCCTGATAGACAAAACCCCTGACCCCTGGACAACACGTGAGCTTGCAGCCAAAGCTACTCATCATATGGACCAAGCCGTAAATTCAGGCATGCCCAGCAGCACCTCAGCATCAAGCCCTAATGCTGTCAATGGAACTTGACCAAGCAGATACCAATGACTCATGTAAATTCTAGTAACAAGTCACTCAAACTCCCCAGTGTGCCCACTCCTGGAGCTCTGCCACCTCATCCTCAATCTATATCCACAGATTCCTGCAAAGTTGACCAAGGAGGAGAATGATCAAGATTGCTTTGCAAAATTCTTTTTTTTTTTTAATTAATTAATTTATTTATTTGAGACAGAGAGAATGAGAGAGAGAGAGCACATGAGAGGGGGGAGGGTCAGAGGGAGAAGCAGGCTCCCTGCCGAGCAGGGAGCCCGATGCAGGACTCGATCCAGGGACTCCAGGATCATGACCTGAGCCGAAGGCAGTCGCTTAACCAACTGAGCCACCCAGGTGCCCCGCTTTGCAAAATTCTTCATGATGTATTGATATCCACCCAAAGTAAACTACCTTAGCATTATTGCTCTTCAGAAGTGCCCTGAAATAGAGAACAGATGTCCTCCTGGTGGGAGTACTTTGAGTAGTACAACCTGTTGACTATTTTGCTTGGAAGGAAAGATGGCCTGAGGTAAGGTTCTTACTAATTCATGTGCTTTGTTAATGGTTTGGCCAGATGGTGAAGAACTTGAAAGGGGTAAGATGCAAGAATTGGTGACAAGCAAGTTTAGTAAAAGATATGTGGATGGGCCTCTTAGAATGCGCACAGAATATGAAAATATTTGTATTCCATTGGATATTTACCAAGCTCCTATTGGTAATTGGGCAGACAAGAAGGTCCACTTTGTGGATGTTAGTTAGAATTTTCCCTCAGCAACCCCAGGGTTTGCTCAGTGGGTTTCTGAACTGAGTGACCATGGTACCAAGCTGAGGGCTTGGCAAAGGCTTAACCAGGGAGTCTCACTAAGACTAACCCACCATTGTTAAATGCCCACCATTCCAAAAGCAGAAATCAGCCCTGAGCTCCTGACTTGGTACAATAACCTATGGGGGCTGGTCAGCTGCTTCAGCCCAGGCTGGTTATTTCAGATCCCATCCATGTAGAGGCTAAGATTTGTTCTGAAACAGATAATCATTCCTAGTGGAATGAGGGTCCTTGCTCTCCAGGGTCAATTTGTAATGATGGGAGTCTGCAGACCTTTGTTTGTTTTCCCAAGGAATAGATTCCTGGAATAGAACCAGGCTATGGCAGACAGACTTTGCTGCCATGGGTGGATCATCAAGAAGGTTCAGAGACAGACTGGGAGGTGGTACCTGAGCCAGAGCCGGCTACAGGAGTGAGCGAATAGCCAAGTCCTAAAACGTTTATGCTTTGCAGAGTTCAGTGATTGCTATGGTGTGTGTGTGTGTGTGTGTGTGTGTGTGTGTTGCATGCCAATATCTCATCTTTTTTTTTTTTTGGCCAATATCTCATCTTTCTGATCAGCTGGGGAGGGCTTTCAGGCCAGGGATGATTAAAGAGGTCTCAGAGGGAAGGGAAGAGTGAGGCAGTCTCTCATCCTTGTTTATTCAGAGGCTAACATAGGTTCTGTCACAGAATGAGAAAAAAGAACCGAAAACAAAATGAGTAAATCTTCGGGTTGGAAGGGATCTCAGAGATGATCCAGCACCGTCCCCCACCGTTCCGAGACTCTCCGCCGACCTCCCCCAGCTGGCAGCCCCCTGGTGTCTGCTGGTTGATTGTTCTAGCTACAACTGATCAAGTGCTTTCTTACCCTGGGGAGGGACTCGCATAGACATTAACCTCATAGAAGCCTCATAACCTGAGGAGGTACTTATGCGTACGTACCAGCAAAGAAACCGTTTCAAGTAGCTTCATCAGAGTCACCCAATTAGTCAGTGAGAGAGTCAGGAATTGAAGCCAGATGGATCTGACTTGGTAGCTTGTGGTTGTAAACCCTCTGCCGTCCCGTTGGAATATGCACAGTGACAGAGGTCTCACCACCTCCCACGGTAACTCCTGCTCTGGCTACAGCTGCAGATATGAGCGATCTCTTATGTGCGGCATATATACATCACTTAGCCAGCGTTGGCTGTTGGAAAACTTCCTTACGTGGGGCTGAAGCCTACCTCCCTGTGACTCGCGTGGCCTGTTCTGAGTGTCCTCTGTGGACTCCTGAGAACGGTGCTCCTCCTGCCTGCACCCGACCGTCCTACTGCGGTCTGAAGCTGGCTCTCGCAGGCTGCAGTGTGCGAGGGTCGCAGCTGACCCCACTTCCAGTGCGCTCGCTGACCGGGGCGGGGGGGGCCCAGGTTGTGGATGCCATTAGCATGGGGCGCTCAGGAAAGCAAGGTGAGGTCTGCCCGGTGCAGAGACTTTCCAGACCATTGCCTCCTGTCTAGACGCTGTGCTGTTATTGATGCCATTTCAACTCGCGTTAGCTTTTTTGGCAAGAGAAATTCTTCCCCTGCTCTGGCCTGCCTGGCTGAATGACTATGGAACTTAGCTCAAAGCAGGAAATAATATGAGAGGGCAGGAACGACAAGCTCCCCTGGTCCTGATCTGAGTCACCTGTGATTCTGGCCTCTGGGTCTAAGTGCTGGGCAGGGAGAGGGGGAGGGGAGCTTGCACGTGAGTTTGTAGGGGTGATGCTTGGCAACAGTCTCTTCTGGAGCAGAGCTGCACTCTGTGTGTGTGCGTGTGATGTAGTGGAGTAATCTAGAAAACAGCTGTTGAGCATTTGTCTCAGCCTCGTCGACCTGGGCCTTTCCATTCTTACCTTGGATGTGACTGAATCTCATTTATTTTATTTTTTTTTATTATTTTTATTTTTTTTAAAGATTTTTATTTATTTGACAGAGGGAGTGAGAAAGCACAAGCAGGGGGAAGCAGTAGAAGGAGAGGGAGAAGCAGGCTTCCCGCTGAGCAAGGAGCCCGATGCGGGGCTTGATCCCAGGACCCTGGGATCATGACCTGAGCTGAAGGCAGATGCTTAACCGACTGAGCCACTCAGGCACCCCGAATGAATCTCATTTCACTGGAAAAAGCATCTTCCAGACTGAGCTGAGCTCTGTACATGAGATAACCTCAGACCTTCCCCCTTCCCGTGCCTCCAGTCCTCAGTGCAAAGAGGTAAGTTAGGAGGCTACACTGGGGTGGGAGCCAGGAGGTCCAGAAGCCCAGTTCTGGCCACCCGTCTAAGGCTGCAAGGAGTGAGCACGCTGCCCTTCCACCTGGGCCCAGACAGAGTCCTCTGTGGTCTGTGCATGTGGGTTATGGTTGTTTTCCATAGATGTGTTCCTTGCATGAAACCCCGTGCTAAATGCCTTGGATTTCCTCCTCATTAAGGTGTAACGTGGCTCCTGATACATAGAAGGGAATGAGCACAAGAGCTCCTGGACACTATCGGACTCTCCCAATTCGTGAGATGGGTAAGAACCAAATGCACCCAGGGGTGAAGAGGATGGTGCGTGGGGCTCTGCTCTCCCCTGCCCGCCACAGTATGGCTGTTGAGAGAGGTCAGGCGTCTTAGGTTTCCGTCCCAACATCACCCTCGGCTAGCTGTGTGACAAAGGGCCACGTCTCACCCACCTGCCACATGAGAGGATGGCTTGGGGAGCAGACGGGCTCTGGTTTGAATCCTGGACCTGATCTTGGGTAAGTCACATAAACTTTCTGGACTTTTGTCTATAAAATGAGGTTAATACTCTTCACCTCCTGGATTTCTGGGAGGATCAGAGAGAATGTGTGCAAAACACCTGTCTCACAAGGACGCTTGATGTGTGCACATTCTCACAGGGACGCTTGATGAAGAATAGTAGCTATCACTGTGAGGAGTCCTTGCTGCAGCTCCCAACCCTCTTAGCGATGGCATGGAAGTAACAGGGCTAATGGAAATGAAAGCTCTTTGGGGTCCTGCATGCTGGATTAGTTAGCATGATAACAACAACCGTATTTACATAAAAGTCCCTAGTCCTCTGTGTTCCCAGAATGTACAGCTCTGGGGGCCCTGGGGAGAGTACCAGCACTTTGGGATGGACCCCCCTCTGCACACCTCTCCCCCAGATCATTGCTCTTCCCTTCCAAATGTTCCCAGTTTGGGGACTTGCCGTTTATCAGTTGCTGTAGGGGAGATTTTTGTCGTGCTAAGTCTCTCCACTCTGCAGGGAATGGCCAATTACTGCCAGGCTTGGAGAGATGCATCACCTCACACCTGGCTCCTAGGACCCCTTGGCCAGGTTGGCTCCCTGGGCAACAGGCCATAGATCACAGCTGTTTTTCCAGCCATGGGCAGGAGGGCCAAAGGGAGAAGGACATGATCACTGGGCAGAAACTGGGAGGCCAGGGAGGCCTTGAAGAAACCATAAACTCTTCATTCCTCAGTGTCACAGGACAGGGGACAGCTAGATAAATTCAAATACATCAGTAGTCCAGAGCTTTGGATCAGATTCCAAAGGAACTCCAGCGTTCGTGTTTCATTGCTTGGTCCCCGCCCTTTTTTGCCTACCCTCATTTCCCATAACTTTGGGAAGGCACTGAAGGCCAGAAGACAAGAAAGAAGTCAAAAAACCTGGCTAATTTTAAACTTGACATTAGTGGTTGCACGTTAGAACACTTTATGTGGGTGGAAGGAGGATGGAAGTTGGCCAGCCCACCCCCCACCCCACTCCTCCCGTGTTTCATCAGCCTCATGATTCAGGACTTCATGCATTTACTCACACATTCATTCACTCATCAGAAACTTATAATGAACACCTACACTGAACCAGGCTGTTTTCTAGGTGTCAGGAATAACAAGTGAACGAGACTCTGCTCTGTTCCCAGAACCTAGTGTTTTTGGAATACAAGCAAGTCGCCAGGGAATACACCCAGTGTGCAAATCCTCTCACGATCCCCACGGTAATGCCGAGAAGAGGCTCTGACTCAGAATTGCGGAGGCCATGGAAGGCTTCCTGGAGGAAGTGACACCTAAGCTAAGACCCTAAGGATGAATAGAACCAGCTAGATGAAGAGAGGAAGGACAGCGTTGTGGGGAGAATGTTCCAAGTCGATAGAACACTGTAAGCCATGTCCCAAGATAGATAGCAATTGCTGGATCTCAGACAAGGAGGGAAGTAATAGGATTGGATTTGAATTTTGGAAGGAGCCTCTTGGCTGCTGATTCCCTGCCACACCCCAGAAGGGAGGCGGGGAGGCCAGGTTGGAGACTGTCATAGTGGTGCAGGGGAGAGCTGACGGTGGCCTGGCCTTCTACACCGGTGTCCTCGGCCAGCCTCCCCCGTGGTCAGCCCCTTGCCCTGGGCTCTGACCACCGGCCCTGTCCCCTGTTCCGACCCCAGACCTTTCTCATTGCGGAATGCTCCTGCAGCGGAGGGATTATAGGAGCACCATTGCCCTTGGGCGTTTGCTCGACTCACTGCCTTGGATGTTCTGGTTTCCTTTGTTCCTCTCAGGCCTGCCAGAGCACAGGGCTGGGTCATGGCCATGGGACTGCCCCGGATGTGGACGTGGGGGCTCGGAGGAGAAGGCAGGGGAGGACAGGACCCCACTCATTCGAAGTGAGGTTCTTATTTCAAGTCCAGAGGTGCTGGGGACTCCTTGTACTCAGTGACCTCTGAAAAACAAAGCAGGTGGAGACAGTGGAGCCCTTGTGCTCTGTGGGTGGGAGTGGAAAATGGTGCGGGAATGGAAAACGCCATGGCGGTTCTTCAAAACATTAAAAATAGATTTACCATATGATCCTGCAATTCCACTTCTGGGTCTATACCCCTAAGAAGAGAAAGCAGGGTCTCAAAGAGATGTTTGCACACCCATGTTTCCAGCAGCATTACGCACAAGAGCTAAAAGCTGGAAGCACGTCAGGTGCCCATCAGTGGAGAAATGTATAAGCAAACTGTGGTCTCTACATCCAAGGAAATATTCAGTGTTAAAAAGGAAAGAAATCCTGAGACCTGCTACAGCATGGATGAACCTTGAGGACTTTATGCTCAGTGAAATAAGCCAGTCACAAAAAGACTGTATGATTCCACTTATTTGAAGTCAAAGTCCCAGAAACAGAAAGTAGCAGGGTGGTTACCAGGGGCTGGGGGAGGGGACAGTGGGGACTTGTTAATGGATAACAGTTTCAGGTTTGGGAGATGAGAAAATTCTGGATCCTGATTGCACAACCATGTGAATACCCTTAACACTTCTGAACTGCATGATTAGAAATGGTTATGCTAGTAAATTTTATGTTATGTGTTTTTTAACCACAATTAAAAATTAAAATGAAGAAATCATATCATTTACGTAATTTTTTTTTTTTTTTTTTAAAGCCAAGCAGGGGCAAGGGTGGGCGGTGGGGGTATTAATAGCTTCCCCTTTCTGAGGTCAGCAGGGAGTGAGAGAAGGTCAACCCAGATTCTGACTCCCCTCGCCTGGGCTGCCCCAGGTAAGGACGTTACCTCCCCAGACATCCCCTTGTCCTCACTGGGGTTGGCGAGGACTGAGAGGCACCTGGAGGAGGCGGAGAAGCAGCTGGGCCTTTAGCTGGGACCCACACGGCCAAGGGTCACAGCTGCCAAGTCCTCGACTGCATCCCTTCTACATGTACATTCTCTCTCTCTCCCCTCAAATACATATTTACCGCTTCCTTCCCCCTCTGTATTAATCTTAGCCTGTTTCTTCTCTGCAAAAATAGTGGGCAGGCTGGGAGGGGGGAAACGCCATATTGCTTTTGGTCTCACACTCCCCCAGGGGTGTTTCTCCCTCCCTATTTCTCTCACCTGGTTTCTCTCCAGAAAACTAGCTGAGGTCCAGCTGGAGGCAGGGGATGGCTGGGATGATAGGCGGGCAGCCCCTTTGATCCATCTGGGGAAGAGTAAGCACGGAGGGAAGGCTGCTGCGGATTTCCCTTTTGCTCAAGTGCGACAGCACCCTTCCTCATGCCGCCTCCGGCTACAGCCCCCGGACCCACTGGGGGTCCCAGCCTGGGCCTGCTGGCAGCACGCCCTGATGCGCTGGGCCTCAGGCACCCAGGGGCTTGCGTGGTTTCTCAGATGCACCCTTCTCTGCCACCTCAGGGGTTTCTCCAGCTCCAAGCCCCGCTCTGCCATTTGGCCTGACCCATTGTATGTCTGTCTTGTGGGTCTTGACCATACACACACCGTGGTTGAGTTCCTCTATGTGCCGGGTACTCAGTTTTCCTAAGTTTTGGGGCTTCTCTCCACCAGGATGCGGTGGGTGTCCGTTGAGGGGTCGGCAAGGAGGAAGAGTCAGTGCTGAGGGTGTCTTTCTTAAAAACAGGGCAAAGCCCCCCTGGCCTCCCCAGTCTTGGTTGGTTCTCCCCTTCCGAGCTCTTCATCTGTGTTCCCCTCCATCTACCTCTGGATCGTCGCCGTCTTGTATTACTGGCCTAGTATAGAAATGCTTTCATTGGGCAAGACTTGACTCCCTAATCACAGTAGACTCCCGGGGGGAAAGGCTCTTCACTTCTTCTTGGACTTTGCAGAGGGATCTTAACACAGGTTTTATTTTTTAAAATTTCATAGCGCTTCATCCGTTTCCCATGGGCCTCTCTCAATTTTTTCTATCCAGCTCATTGACTTCTGACGAAGCTGTTGTGTCGTGATCCTTGTTGATTTTCCCGTCTCCAGTTATTTATTGATCCCCCGCCCCGCCGTCCCCCAGCCTTATTTTTCTCAGTGGCTCTGAGGGTGATTGAAACACTGCTCTCCCGTTGGGGGTCGAGATGCGCGATTTCACTTTGCAGTGGCCTTGTATCGCCTTCTTTTGTGTGGTGACCACCACCCACCATCAGCACGGACTGACGAAGACCTCTGACGCCTGGCCTGGGGCTGTGGATAAACGGGAAAGAACAGTGGAGTGGGGGTTAAGGCCACAGTGTGGTCGGTTCCTCGGTGAGTATTTTGTGTCATGCTGACTCTCGTGTCCCCGCACAACCTGTGAGAGCCAGAGAGTTAGCACTCGGGTCACAAGGACCTCCGTCTCGCCCTTCTGACGCTCTGACGGCGATGTCAGATGCACCCCCGATTTGTGGGGTCTAAGTTCCTCCCACCACCGAAGGAGCCCCCTCTCTCACGTGGGAGGGGAAGCCTGGGCTGAGCTGATCCCAAAGTTCAGAGCTAATGAGTAGGAATCACAGGGCCGGGCTTTTGGTTCAGTCCAAGGAAGAACTTTTTTTTTTTTTTTAAAGATTTTATTTATTTATTTGACAGAGAGAGACACAGCGAGAGAGGGAACACAAGCAGGGGGAGTAGGAGAGGGAGAAGCAGGCTTCCTGCTGAGCAGGGAGCCCGATGCGGGGCTCGATCCCAGGACCCCGGGATCATGACCTGAGCCGAAGGCAGACGCTTAATGACTGAGCCACCCAGGTGCCCCCTAAGGAAGAACTTTTCAACAAACTAAACTGGACGGGCTGCCCTATGAGGTCATGAGCTCTCTGTCACTTACAGTATTTAAGCTGGGATGAGACGATGGGGTGGCTGTAGAGAGAACTTCTCTGGTGGGTGAGGAGGGGTGGGGCTGGAGGACTCTTCCAGATCCGAGAGTCGACTAGTCTCTGTCTTTTGTATCATGGTGTGAACTCCTGAGGACAGGGCCTGCTTTATTCATGCCTGCATCCCCCAGACACAGCGTAAATACAGCCCTAGCCCCCTGGCTGATGACTGAGTGAATGCCTGACTAGGTTCACTGGATGCAGGAACCAGGGCTCATCCTCCCAGTGAGCCTTAGCACCTGGCCACTCTAGAAGCCAGAGGCAACGTTGCTTCCCCACAGTCCTTCCCGTGGAAGCCGGAGTGGGCGACTGGGGCCCTGGGGAAAGAGGAGAGGTCCTGAAAAGAGGGGTTGCTGGCTCAGTCATAAAGGTGGTTCTGAATGTATCGAGCTCCTACTACAGTGACTCTCAACCTTGACTGTACATTTGAGTCATCTGGGGAGCTTTTAAAAAAAGTATTAAGGGCTGTATCTCACCCCTAGAGACTCTGATTTAATTGGTCTATGGAATTGGGTCTCAGTGTTTAAAGCTCCTGGGGTGATTCTAATGCAGCCAAGGCTGAGAACCACTACGTTACCAAGTGCCAGGTGCTTTACCTGTGTTTTCTCATGAATCCTCACAACACCTCATGGGGCAGGGCGCAGCGTCCTAGCCCATGGTTTCCCGAATCCTGGGCCTCACCGTGGGAGCCTGTGTTAGAAATGCAGATTTCTCAGCCGCACTCCAGCCTCGCTCTGGGGTGGAGCCAGGCAATCTGGGTTTTGAGCATCCTCCCGCTGGTTGAGCTGTGTGTTCCAGTTCTCCGTGAGGACCAGAGGGAGGCCCCAGCAGCCCTCCCTCCCTCACAGGTGAGGCAGATAGGTACGGCCACGAGGAAGGATCACAGCAGGGATTTGAATCCAGGTGCATGCCTCTGTCCAGACCCGAACGTCCTCCCTTTTACGGGTGGTCCTCTATGGTCAAAGCCAAGACACACCACGCTGCTTGTGGGGAAGGGACTGGGGTCTCCTGTGAGCTCCGGGTCGATTCTTTCTCCTCTTCGCTTGGCGCCAAAGTGTAAACTCCATCTGGAGCCCAGTTGCTCTTGCCCCTAGGGAAGCAAAGGGCAGAATACCCCAGGATTCATTCTAAAAGTTTTATTAGGTGCCTAAAATAGCTTCTAGCAGATGGTGTGTAGAATGGGGGACCGGAGCAGAGCTGCAAATGACATTTGCAAAGTTGTGTGTGTTGGTGCAAGCACACTCATGGGCACGTATGCATACAGCTGATGTGTGTACGTGCAGGGTTGGGGGGTTTGTCAGAGATGTTGAAGAACTGTGCAAGGGGACATGAAGGAGAAGTAGAACAGGATGGATGACTCTGATCTACCTACGATTAAAGAGGAGAAAGTCTTTTTTTTTTTTTTAAGATTTTATTTATTTGCGAGAGAGACAATGAGAGACAGAGAGCATGAGAGGGAGGAGGGTCAGAGGGAGAAGCAGACTCCCTGCCGAGCAGGGAGCCCGATGCGGGACTCGATCCCGGGACTCCAGGATCATGACCTGAGCCGAAAGCAGTCGCTTAACCAACTGAGCCACCCAGGCGCCCCAAAGAGGAGAAAGTCTTGAGATTGGTTTTCCCAAGGCACTTGTGTGAATCCTGTGCCAGCCCTCTGCACACGGTAGCCAGAAAGATGTCGTTGACTGGCCGAGGGATCTCTAATGTGGCTCTTGGGGTTGGGGAACCCATGGAGTTGACATGGGGGTGCAGCAGAGTCCAGGAGCCTTGTAGATTTTGATGAGTTGAAAGCCCGAAGTTGACTGAAGGTTAGGGGGCAGACACAGGAGCCCTTGCTTTGCAAATGAAAACATTGGGAATTCATTTTCCTCATTTTAAAGGAAATGTCTACATGTGTAAATCCGAATCCCACTTAGGGGCAGAGATGGTGGATGTTCGTCATTCGGATCCTCCCTGACAGACTCTCAAACTGTTGGGGCTGTCTCTGTTTCCCTTGGCAACTCCCAACTATACTCTTAAGGCTTTGTACTTGTGAGTGTGACTCTTGGATCTTCTAATGCGGTAGTTCTTGATTTTTCTGAGTGTTGGACCCATTTCAGAGTCTTATTAAATACAAAGTGCCCTCTCTCAAGAAAATTTCATAATCATATACACAGAAAAATCTGTCAGCAATTCATAGAGGCCCACGGACTCTCCAAGTCCGTCTTTGAGCCACTGGCTCTAGTGGAGGGCCCCGAGGAGGTGGGCTCAGTCCAGCCCTGCCCTGAGCCAGGATACTAGAGTGCTCGTTCCCTTGCACCCCTCACTGTGGATAATGACATTGAAGCCATTAGAAGGCAGGGGCCTGAGTTAGAGGACCCTGTGTCTGGTTTCAACTGCGAGAATTGGGACTTCAGCAAGCGGTGGCCGGTGGCCATTGAGCTCTGAAACTAGGACCTGCCACTGAGGCTCCTCAGCTCGGTCAGCTGCACTCTTGCGCCTCCTGGGGCTCTTACTCCCGCCCACCACACATCCATCCCTCTAATCCTTACCTGTAGGAGTGATAGCACCTCCTCTTTATCCTCTGGAGTTAGTGCCCGATTATTGCCCTCTCGCGTCCCAGACCCCCGAGAGGAGAGTACTCCACTCGCTCCCTTGTTTTCGATGTAGAAGATAGTGTGGGTAGGTGGGTAGAGCAGGAGAATTTGGAATTAGAAGACCTGCGTTCAAATTCCAGCTCTACCCTTGTTGGTTGTGTGACCTTGGGTCAGTTATTTAAATTTCCCAAGCCTC